CTCAGATGTACTTCATTCTCAGCTTCACTGCGATGCAGTCTGGGGTCCTTGTGGCCATGGCTTTAGATCGCTACGTGGCCATCTGTGATCCCCTGAGACATTCCACCACTCTGACAAACTCTGTGGTGGCCAAAATTGGCCTGGCCTTGGTGCTTCGTGGTGCCATGTCCGTACTGCCCATTCCCTTGCTAGCGAGGAGGTGGCCATATTGCAGAACCAATATAATTTTCGACACATACTGTGAGCACATAGCTGTGGTGAAGCTGGCCTGTGTCGACATCAGCCTCAGTAGTTACTACAGCCTCTCTGTGGCATTCTTCGTGATCGGTCTGGATGTGTTTTTTATCGCTGTGTCCTATACCCAGATCCTCAGGGCCATCTTCAACCTCCCAACAAAGGACGCCCGGCTCAAGACTTTTGGGACCTGTGGCTCCCACCTCTGTGTCATCTTATCCTCTTACATCCCAGCTCTCTTCTCCTTCCTCACGCACCGGTTTGGGCACAATGTGCCCCAGCATTTACACATTCTCATGGCAAACATTTACCTCTTGGTGCCCGCCATGCTAAACCCCATCATCTATGGGGTGAGGACTCAACAGATCCGGGATAGGCTACTCCAGCCCTTTACTCATAAAGGGACCTAAGTTGTCTCCTGGTTCTCTAGCTCTCAGATCGAGCTCCATGCAGAGCTGGCTGGTGACATGGTGCTGAGCCCTCTTCCCTGAATCACTGAGTGGACAGTCAAAGAGACTTTAAACCCTTTCCTGAAGTTACTGTGCTCTTTCAGCATCACAAATTGGGGAATCTGTCTATATACAACTCATAGGTCTGCCATATTTCTAATTGCTGGTAACTGGAAGCCTGAGGCCCCACCTCTCTGCCCTGCCTCTTCCCCCAGGTTCCGCCCCTGCTCTGCCTCTTCCCCTCAAGGCCCCGCCCCTCACTCGCTCCTCTCCTCCCCACCCCGTCACTTTCTGGTTCATCCCTGTGACACTCTGCACCCCAAAGCACCCCATATTTACCCTGGTGATGTAATTATAGTATGTTTTGTACAAAGTAGGCCCTGTGAGGTATCATTCTAAAAGTCTTAATCTGCTAAACATTGATATCCCCTTGGGTTGTATGTGCGCTCATGGTATGTGAAACTATGAAATCTTGCTATGTGTGAGTTACTAAAGTGTGATGTGAGGCTGGAAACACCCCAAACCAGCCTTTCAGGTATGTCAAAGGAGTAGCCAGACAGTGTTAATTGCTGTTGTCAACACTCATCCAGGGAAGAATCCACTAGCACAGGAACTGTGTATAAGAAAACCTCCTCGGAGGGAGTACAGAGACAATGGAGAATGTTTGCCCAATAGGGGCACCCCCCTATGTCACATACATAGACTTTCCAGCAAGCTGGAAGAAACTATAAAAGATGGGGAGTGACATCATCACTTGTCTTCATTCCCTCACAACTCAGCACCTGCAAGAAGCTCAGGAAGACAAAGGACTTTGAATGGGGGAGGGGAACCAAGGCTGAAAAGCAGATTGAGCCTGTGCCTCAAGAATCTGTAAGACTGCTTGTATCATCAGTCAGGGTGAGATACTGCTGATTCAAATCATATCTAGTGTGTACAAGTCTTAGACTGGAAGATTGTTTGATTTCCTACGTAACCTGCTTTGATCTGTTTGTTATCACTTATAATCACTTAACATCTATCCTTCTGTAGTTAATAAACCTGATTTATGTTTTATCTTAACCAATGTGTTTTTGAGTGAAGTGTTTGGGACTCTTAGCTCCATTAGCAAAGGCTGGTGCAGATATTCCCCCATCAAGGAGGGAACAAACTAATTAATGAGTTTACGATGTACAGATCGCTATTTATGCTCCAGCAAGGGTGCAAGGCTGGGGAGCTGGGAAATTGGCTGATACCTCCATTGTTGATCCATGAGTGGCTTAGGTAAAGTACTAAAGCACTCAGGTAACCTAGTTGGGTGTGTGGCACCACCTGCTGTCATGTTGGGTGATAACAGGACCCACAGGGGATGTCTGTGTGTCACCAGCAGACCAGAGGGAGACGCCCATGCAGCTGAATGGTTTGGGGGAACAGCAGTTCCAACACCTTCCAGGCTTCACCCCGGGGGTACATCCCATCACAATCTCCACCTCTCTGCTGATATTGGACATTGGACATTGGACTGCAACTTAAGGATTCATTCTGAAAGAACTCTTTGCAAGTATAAAGCTCACCATCTCTACGATGAACCTGACTGAAGAATTCTATTCATATCTGTACGTATAATGATGTCCGTTTACTGCAGTGTGGAAGGAGGCGTTGGGTCATTAACCGGGGCCACCTCCTACCTCCCGCCTCCCACACAGCCCCCTGAGCTGGGCTCCCTCTGCTCCCGGGCTGGGACAGGAGCTGCTGCAGCCTGACAAGGAGCCTGCCTGCGGGTAGGAGGCGGCTATGATAATGAAGGATATTTGCTTTGAAGTAGAATTACCTATTTCCTATGAATACACAGGTAACTCTTCCATTCATCAGCATAAGGTAATTATCCATTAAGTGGCTCATAGGTAGTTTACTACAAACGTCAAAGAGAAGTAGAGACAATGAAGTTATTTATTACACCCAAGTTTAATTTAAATAATAATATTTTCTTTTGATCTTTGAATCAACAGATATACCAACAGACAGGAATCATGTGTTTACATGGTTAACATCTAACCCGATATAAGTAAACACACACAATTAGCATTACCTCTTATTCTCTAACAATACAGGTTTGCATTTCGAAGTTCTAGTGTATTTCCCAAGGTTATGTTGCTACTTATAGGGTGTGGCCCTAATTACCATTTATATAGTTCTCTAATATGTCTTTAAAGGTTGGATTTGGGTCAATTAGCCTGCTAGTTGCATAACCCTTTCTGAGCCTCTGTCACACCCATTAACTCACGTTTGATTGTATGAACCATCTGTATCCTTATGTCTTTGGGCTTTTGCTCTTCGCTCAGTCTCCTTGTGCTCAGAGGCAGGAGGCTAGGGTGGACAGAAGAAAGGAGTAACTGCATTCTAGATAAAGCCAGTTTTCTCCAGCTTCTCTGCTGAGGGGTGGGCTTGGAAGGAATGGAACCTCCCCAGAAGAGGGAACAGAG